GCTACAGCTCTGTTTCGTAGCAACAAATTCCTCCAGCCAAGTCCCCTGGATGCGTTCCCACAGAGGGGTAGCAGTGGTGCTGGGCTGCACTAATTCCATTAACCTCATCCCACTACTTGTATCAGCCACGGGAACGAATAAGTAACATTGTAAGTACCGCCGTCTCCAATCAGGCTGTTAAGGAAAAAAGGACAAGTGTTCCACATCAATGGAAACAAAAGAAAAACAATGATGCTTTAGGAGAGGTTGATGATTCTAATACCTCCGTATCTACACTCATTTGCTCAGAACAGCAAACCCCAATTAGAAAAGCAGACCAAAAATGTCTTATTAAAGAGCACACAAAACATTTGCATACGAATGGGTAAAATTCTCAAACCTCAATGCTGTAAAGCAGCAGCTGTTGTGAGGTGGGAAAAGTTTTGGGCTAGGAGCTGAGAGATCTGTGCTCCAAGCCTGGCTCTGCTGCTCAGTAACTGTGACTCTGCCCAGTTCAGCCACCTTAGCTTGGGTTCCCACTTCAGGAAATGAAGTGTTGGACAAAATGATCTCTAACATCCCAGACCAAGTTAAAAACCTCCCGTACTCCCGTTGTCTGCAGGAGACACAAATGGGGGTTCCTGATCATCTTTGCCCTCCTCACCCAGCCCATACCCAGGTGAGTGTGGTGGTCTGGGAGCAGCCCTGGAGTGAAGGTTTATTCATCTGTATTTTCCCCAATGGTTCTCCCAAATAACTGAGAGTGGCCAGAAATGCTTTCAAACTTAGAGGCCACTGGGCAGAAGTGAGAGGTGAGTCTTAGACAGATTTTACTTAAAGACCAAAATATCTGCAAGCCTTTCTTGCTCTGAGTGACAAACTCTTTTTCCAGAAGGTGAGGAGTCAGACAACATTCTGTATGTATGTGGTCCTCCTGCATCTACGGTGAAGGTCACCAGCCTGCACACTTCCTGTTCCAGACACTCTGGGCTCCTTCAAGAAAGGCCGCCAGCCCTATTTCTTGGCAGATACTGTCTATTTCTATGTGACATTTCTATCACTATTTCCTTAAACCGTTATTTAAACCTATTACTGGTATTTTAATTTTCAAGTATATAAGTGTGTTCCTAAGTTTTAACAGTTATGATTTGAAGAGACTCTACCATGTGCAAGTTTCTGGATGGAAACTTTATATATGATATTACTTATCCAACAAAATACCCCTTTGAATGAGAAAGTATCTTCATTTTACAGGGACGGAAAGTGAAACGGGAATCATCCAAATATCTTGCCAGGGTCAAAACAACGGTGGAGCTCAGATCTAACCCAGGCCACTCCGACCTTGTTTTCCCACTCATTCCCCTTTTTCTGGGGATGAGGTTTGTATCCTTTGCCCCTGTGGCTTTTATTCCCAAATTCCTACACATTCTTTATCTATAAGAAACATTTCCTATCATCATTTGAGTTCATCCCAGTGGACCCTCTGTAATTTCAGTGTAATCAATTTAGAGCCCTACCAGTAGTGTAGAGGCCACCTTTCATTCCGAGGTCCAGCACGGCCTTGGGGCTGAGCCATGACCCTGGCTGCTGCCGTCCGGCTCTGTGCATTGTGCATGTGGAGTGACTACTGAGTTTTGGAGAGACCAGACCTGAAGTTATAGTTATGCTTTAGAATGAAGACATAAGAAGTAAAGGATTAGAAAGATTTTAAGGAAATAATATCACTCGGCTTGGTGACTGGACGCGGAACGTGGTGGTAAGTGGAAGCTTCACATTGGTAAGTAGATGGTGCTCATCACAACACTGACATTAAGAGAAGACAACGGGCTTGGGGGAAGGGTTAGAGGAGCCATGGGTGAGGGTGAGCAACTTGGAGGACAGGTAAAGGACCCACCTGCTTTTATACATAGAAATGTAATGGCCCACAAAGGTCATTCTAAAGTTCGGCTTGAAGCCTACAGTTAAGTGAAAGTTGAAGCTATGTGATTACATGATGTAAAAAAAATAAGCATAAATTGTGAGTGGCTAATGCACTGGCTGTCAAGTTTAACTAATGGTGAGGAGGTGAGCAAAAAAGGAGAAAGTCATTAAGTAGCCCAAGGAGGAGCTGGGAGAGAGCAGGGCAATTGGTGATTGGGCTTCAGGTGGCGCCAGCGGGAACTGAGGACCCCAAAGAGAAGCCGGAAGTTTGCCATCTTACTGGTGGGGGCCCTTCAATTAGCATTATATAAACATGTGCTACTCTTCTTTATCTGGGGAACATTAACTGATCTCACTGAAGAATGACCCTAGAGCTGAATGTTTAACACAGAGTTTGGGTAGGGGGTTCTCTTGCGTGTAGTTACATTGCTCTGACTGCAAATATCCTGCCTTGCTTTTTCCAGAGGCCCTCACCACACCCTGACTACACCATGGTCCATGTTTCAGGGTCAGATGGCACTGTGGTGTGTCGACACCTGACCTTTGTCCTCCTGCCATGGTGCACCTACCACACAGAGCTCAATGTGCCTCTGCCTGAACGGCCACACGGGCACTCACCGATGCCCAGCCTTGGTCCCTTCCCTCTGCTCTCCGCTCTTCCCCTTGGCAGCTGCAGCCTTTTTTGTTCTTTCTTTATCCTCTGTAGCTGGGTGACAGTCCTTCAAGAAGTAGGGACAGTACATCCCCAGAACCTAGCAGAATACCTGGAATGTAGTAAGATTTCAATAAATAATTGAATGGATGAGTGAAAGATTTATTAAGATATATGTCAGTCATAAAGTAGTCCAGTGGTGTAATACTGGATGGCCTGTATCATTTAACCTTCTCAGAATGCGGAGACCACCCAGAACACCCACTAAGCCCAGCTACAGCTCTGTTTCGTAGCAACAAATTCCTCCAGCCAAGTCCCCTGGATGCGTTCCCACAGAGGGGTAGCAGTGGTGCTGGGCTGCACTGATTCCATTAACCTCATCCCACTACTTGTATCAGCCACGGGAACGAATAAGTAACATTGTAAGTACCGCCGTCTCCAATCAGGCTGTTAAGGAAAAAAGGACAAGTGTTCCACATCAATGGAAACAAAAGAAAAACAATGATGCTTTAGGAGAGGTTGATGATTCTAATACCTCCGTATCTACACTCATTTGCTCAGAACAGCAAACCCCAATTAGAAAAGCAGACCAAAAATGTCTTATTAAAGAGCACACAAAACATTTGCATACGAATGGGTAAAATTCTCAAACCTCAATGCTGTAAAGCAGCAGCTGTTGTGAGGCGGGAAAAGTTTTGGGCTAGGAGCTGAGAGATCTGTGCTCCAAGCCTGGCTCTGCTGCTCAGTAACTGTGACTCTGCCCAGTTCAGCCACCTTAGCTTGGGTTCCCACTTCAGGAAATGAAGTGTTGGACAAAATGATCTCTAACATCCCAGACCAAGTTAAAAACCTCCCGTACTCCCGTTGTCTGCAGGAGACACAAATGGGGGTTCCTAATCATCTTTGCCCTCCTCACCCAGCCCATACCCAGGTGAGTGTGGTGGTCTGGGAGCAGCCCTGGAGTGAAGGTTTATTCATCTGTATTTTCCCCAATGCTTCTCCCAAATAACTGAGAGTGGCCAGAAATGCTTTCAAACTTAGAGGCCACTGGGCAGAAGTGAGAGGTGAGTCTTAGACAGATTTTACTTAAAGACCAAAATATCTGCAAGCCTTTCTTGCTCTGAGTGACAAACTCTTTTTCCAGAAGGTGAGGAGTCAGACAACATTCTGTATGTATGTGGTCCTCCTGCATCTACGGTGAAGGTCACCAGCCTGCACACTTCCTGTTCCAGACACTCTGGGCTCCTTCAAGAAAGGCCGCCAGCCCTATTTCTTGGCAGATACTGTCTATTTCTATGTGACATTTCTATCACTATTTCCTTAAACCGTTATTTAAACCTATTACTGGTATTTTAATTTTCAAGTATATAAGTGTGTTCCTAAGTTTTAACAGTTATGATTTGAAGAGACTCTACCATGTGCAAGTTTCTGGATGGAAACTTTATATATGATATTACTTATCCAACAAAATACCCCTTTGAATGAGAAAGTATCTTCATTTTACAGGGACGGAAAGTGAAACGGGAATCATCCAAATATCTTGCCAGGGTCAAAACAACGGTGGAGCTCAGATCTAACCCAGGCCACTCCGACCTTGTTTTCCCACTCATTCCCCTTTTTCTGGGGATGAGGTTTGTATCCTTTGCCCCTGTGGCTTTTATTCCCAAATTCCTACACATTCTTTATCTATAAGAAACATTTCCTATCATCATTTGAGTTCATCCCAGTGGACCCTCTGTAATTTCAGTGTAATCAATTTAGAGCCCTACCAGTAGTGTAGAGGCCACCTTTCATTCCGAGGTCCAGCACGGCCTTGGGGCTGAGCCATGACCCTGGCTGCTGCCGTCCGGCTCTGTGCATTGTGCATGTGGAGTGACTACTGAGTTTTGGAGAGACCAGACCTGAAGTTATAGTTATGCTTTAGAATGAAGACATAAGAAGTAAAGGATTAGAAAGATTTTAAGGAAATAATATCACTCGGCTTGGTGACTGGACGCGGAACGTGGTGGTAAGTGGAAGCTTCACATTGGTAAGTAGATGGTGCTCATCACAACACTGACATTAAGAGAAGACAACGGGCTTGGGGGAAGGGTTAGAGGAGCCATGGGTGAGGGTGAGCAACTTGGAGGACAGGTAAAGGACCCACCTGCTTTTATACATAGAAATGTAATGGCCCACAAAGGTCATTCTAAAGTTCGGCTTGAAGCCTACAGTTAAGTGAAAGTTGAAGCTATGTGATTACATGATGTAAAAAAAATAAGCATAAATTGTGAGTGGCTAATGCACTGGCTGTCAAGTTTAACTAATGGTGAGGAGGTGAGCAAAAAAGGAGAAAGTCATTAAGTAGCCCAAGGAGGAGCTGGGAGAGAGCAGGGCAATGATGTGGGAGGGAATTGTAAGGAAAAAGTGTAAGATCTCAGAAAGTCTCAGATTGTCTTAAGCTAATCATTACTTTAAGAAAACTGCTTTGGAATCATTAAAACAGATTACTTAATTTTCAGGAAAACATAGTGAGCTACTTAGTGTAGCTTCTTCATCTTGTGTCATTCGTTAGTCCCTCAGCTCTAAGAACGGATATCATGGGGAGAGAAAAATAGCTACACTAATGGGTCATGGTGGAGCTGCTAAAGATTTGTGCTGCCTACTTTATAGTTTTTAATTGACATTATGAAAACAATAAAAATTTAATAAATCAATAATATCTATCCCAAGGATTTATGTTTGTAACTATAACACTGACTTAAGTTGCAAAGAAGTTTCTTACAATGAGAAATGCCCCGGAGATGGATTTCACTGAGTGCTTGATGAGTATTTTACATTTTAGTGGCAGTCAGACCCCTCAGAATTTAGCTCGCCATATACTTTTCCTTCACTTAACAATTGAGAAGTATTCCAAAGACTGATCATAGTGGAAACGACCTCATTATCACTCTTGTTGCCAAAAGCAATCCAGGACAGATCACTTAATCTCAGTGTGAGATGAACAAAGCAGTCTGGGAATGAAAAAGAGAATTTGGAACATGCCTCCCAAAGAATTGTGCTCGTTTCCTCTCACAAAAATGATCATGAAACTTTGGTTGCAACACCAGAGTGCTCCTCTGATTTAAGAATTGGCGCATGTCATGATGGGCAGAGTCCTGCAGATGAAGTCTCGGATAGCATGAAGTTAGCATGGTATGTTTAAAAGCAACCAAAGAGCCCCTAGTAGTTGGGAGTCACATTAGTGCCTACCTTCACCTGTAGATCCTACTCTCCTTTACAGCGCCGCAAAAAACTTAGACACCCATCTCCTCAGGAGGCTCTCATCCACTACCAAGACACAATTTCTGGTAAGTATGACCTTTCCTTGTAAATTTCAGTTCATTTTTAGTCATTTTCTTCACTGTTGCTCATGCTATTATTCTTTCATTCATTCAACAAATATGTTTTTATTAAATTTCTATGTGCCAGGTAGTATTCTGGTAGCAAATAAGACAGATTACATCCTGTCTCTATGGTGCGTACATTTTAGTGAGGAGACGAAAACCTCATGGCCCCGGACACTCATATCCTCCCTGCTTTTGGTAGCTTAGCAGAGAGCTTGGGAGGGAAGATGCACGTTTGTCTAACAGAAGGACAGGCTAATTACTAGTTGCCATGTTCTAAAGAATCCTCCTTCCCAACAAGGCCACTTCCTCAACCAGGGAACTTATGTAGTCCTGGGGGTATTTCTTGACCCTGTCCTGTTCCTCAAAATATACACCATAAATATCTCAAACATCCCAGGGAAGTGACCTTTATTGGCACTTTGGCCATGGGACCTGTAGATTACTGCCTCGGCCTTAGCTGGTAACAAGAGTTTGGGGAACTGTATATGCTCTACTATTTCTCTGGAAGTTGTCTCCAGTGAACTTCCCATCATAACTGCATGGTGTCACACCAAATAGATAAAGACCATTTCTGATAGTGGGAAGTGCTACAAAGGAAACAAAACAGTGCAATGGGACAGAGGGGCTAGTCAGGCAGCCAGAAAGGCCCTTTGTGGAGATAGGAGGAAAGCAGGAATGAGGAAAGCAGGCAGACAAGGAAGGAAAGAACATTCAGGCACAGGGAACAGCAAGTGTAGTGGCTTGGATGAAAGAGCGAGTTTGAAATGTCTATGGGACAGAAAGCAAGCCAGGACACCATGGTTGAGGGGACAAGTATGAGTGACTTTGAAGAAGTGATCAGGGGCTCATAAGGAGGCTCAGTCTTCTAGCTTCAATAAGAAGCTCTGGAAGAAGAGTGAAGGGTTAATGATATAAGATGACAAATGTATTTAAAAGTCTAGCTCTTGGTTTTGGAGGAGCATGAAACACAGTGGCCATGAATGGCAGCAGGGAAAGCAGTCCAGAGGCTTCCACTGTGACCCAGGGGGAGCAAGGGGAAAGACTGGCTCCTCTACAGGACATGTGGGTAAATGCCAGTTGGACGGGAGAGGTAGGGGAAGAGAAATCGTCAGTGATTCCAGGAGAGAGACTGTGGTCCTTTCATAACTGGTAAACATGACACTCAAAGTCATGGAAAAGTAACCACCGAGAAAAACTGGGAGGCAATAAGATATGAAGATTAAAAGATGAGAGGCTCAGTGTAAATAGGAAGCCAGAAAGGCCAATGTTTGAGAAAAGCAAGTGATTCTGAATAATCTTGGGAAGTCAATGGCTCATTTGCTACAGGCTGCAGCCATCTGGGGCTTTTTTCTTTTTTCAGGGAGTGTAGAATGTAGTGCTCACTGGACAAATGTGGCAGATTCTTCTTCCAACCTGGGTTCAAAATAGGGGCACAGAGAGTCAAAGCTCGTGAGAAGCAAGCTCCCGCTTTATGAAGCGGTTACTCTTCCTAGGAAGGATGAACACTACTCAGGTCTTCAGGACCAGAATCTCAAGCTGACCTGGATGTTTGCCACCACAATTTACTTCAGAAATTGAGAATTAGTCAAAAGACTCCATGCAAACCGCAAAAGAGAAGAGCAAAGCAAACTGATCTCTTACTCAACCCCTGGGTGCCAGGCGCTTTACACACATTCTCTCTGTTAATCCTCAAAAATAACCCTGTCAGAAAGGCGTGGTTTCCTTCAGTATCTGGAAAAAAACAAACCAAAGCTCAGAGAGGTTTATACACAAAGCTCAAGGATTAGGATCAGGCGAGCACGGGTCACTCACCCCCCGCAGCTTGGGAGGCGCCCTGATGCAGCAGCAGGGGTCTCGGGGACACGCGGTGCTGGGCCTCACTGCCTGAGGCCACCTCGGGGAGGCGGGGTCCAGGGCCCACCTGAAGGCAGACCTCAGAGCGCTCCGCACCTCCCTTTCCCTTACCACCTCTCCCTCACTTTCCAGTTACGCAACTGCCCTGACTTCTGTCATCTCCTTTCAGGCAAAAAAAGGTTTACCATCTGAGCTTTCGCCCTCCATGTGGCACAGACGGGGGCCTGCCCTCAGGGCAAAGCCAAGAAATGGGAGATTCACCACCTACCGCCTTTCTCCTAAGCAGCGACTCTCCTCCGGAATCTGCCTGCTTTCTTCTCTTCCCTGTGTCTTCATGTACTTGTTTGATATATGGAGTCCAGAGTTTATAGTTATCTGCAGGAGAGCTCGTTGACAGGAACTATTTTGTTACTTGAGAAATAATGTTTTAAAGAAAAAATCCTGAATCAGATAGATGGTTTCTGGAAACATTCATTTCCTTTTCACCTTTACTTTGAACAGAGTGTTTCTCGGTGCTCACTCCTCTGGTTACAGTCTCCTTTCACAGAGGATCCGGCTGCTTCTTACACTAAACACTGTGCTTGCAGACCAAGCCCCAAGCAGTTCCTCTAGCGGGTTCCTCAGCAGTCACGCATTTATGCCTCTGCACTGCCCTCTGACGGCCGGACGCCTCAAGTACAGACCAAAGTGCTGGTCGGGAAACGGAAGGCCCTTCGGACAGGTAAGGAGAACTGCTCACACAGTTCACTTGGTGAGTAACCCGACTGTAGTAGACGTGTCTCCCCAACAAGAACATATCTTACTTATTGTGAACTGTTTGCCACTTTGACTTTGATTAACAACAGAAAGACAAGAAAAGTTCTTAGAGAGCTCGACATGTTTAAAGATCTGTGGCATAGCTGCTGGATGCAGACAATAGTTGTAAGACTCCTGAAAACATCTAGAAAAGAAAGTACCGAGGACAATAACTTGCCCTGAAGGGTAGGAAGACTGTTAAGTGAAACACTTGACCTGGAGGGAGGAGGCAAATACATATGCTTTCTTGGAGTAACATCGCCATCTTGTGTCTTTCTTAGATACTTCTGATAAAAATATGCAAACTCCTGTTGAAAATAAAGAATGCTCTCTAATAAAAGAAATTTGCAAACGTGTTTCGAGGTTCCGACAAGAGAACAGGAGCACTTTTTTAAGAAAAACAGTATCGAGGTACATTTTACACTCAATAAAATGCATTCTTTTAAAGCGTATCAGTTCAATGGGTTTCGACACATGTACAGACCCAGCCACCAACACCATCAACATGCAGAGCGTTTCCATTACCTCCCGGAACGTGCGTTTGTGCCCTTACAGACAACCCCACCCCAGCCCTTGCCCAAGGGACCACTGATCTGCTCTCTCACCATACGTTAGTTTTGACTTATTAAAATTTCATAGAAATGCAATTATACAGTATGTACTCTTTCATGCTTACATTAACTAGGTGTTTTGTTCAACATATCTGACATCTATTCATGTTACTGTATCAGTCAGCTCAATCATTTTTACTACTGTTTGGTTTTTTTCCTGCATTATTCTTAGCATTATCCCATGTTAATTTGTGTAATATCAGTAGGCTAGAATAGTTACCTTCTTGAGGATTAAATTACTCTTTGCATCTCTTAGCAAAGGGTAGGTGCTAATAAGAGCAGTTCAAGGAAAGTGAGAAGATAAAATTAGGACATATTAAATAGTTTCTTGTTGTAGTGTAGAGGTCTCTGTACTTCCAGTTAAAGAGAAAAGTTCTCCCAGTTAAAAAGGATTATAAGATAGCAGGGCCTGATGTTTTAATCTCCCATCTTCTTACTAAAATAGCAATGACTGTGAAATAAAACAGAAGCCCAAAATTCACCTTCTCCAGCATCTAATGTAATGAACAATAATTATTAGCAGCAGCAAAATTTCAACAGCAAGAACCAAATAAGGAAAAGTATACAATGTCATGCCATAAAGTCCAGCAAGTAGTTGATAAAATAAAATATTCTGGCATGGCTTGGCACAGCTCCCAAGCTTAACCCTGAATTACAAGAAAAGAGGGGAAAAATAAAATATTGTTTATTTCCATAAATATGTACTTTGGATAAGAGTAGTCTTGAGGGATTGAACAGGAACCTCAGGCAAAATTCAAAAAGAAATCTTCAAGAGTAGAAGCCTCTACAGCAAGATGCTGAGCAGAGGCAGGAAAGATATCAGACCTGCATGGAACTGAAAAGTCTGAGGCCAGAACTTTTCCCCTCACAGAAACTTTGGACCAAATGAATAATAAGATAGAGAATTGGGCCATATTTCAGAAGAGAAAACAGAATCCACATTCATCCACATGCCTAAGCAAAGGAACACAGCCAGAGCTAGGCTGCCTTTTCCCTGTACCCTCAAGCTACAGAGAAGGGAATAGAAGCACAACACAGCCTCGAAGCTACTGCTCTAAGGAGACAAACGGGACTCTGAAACATGAGGAGAACTTGCCAGCTCTAGAGAGAGCGAAGGGAAAGCCAAAGGGAACGTGCAAGACAAAGGGAACGACATCACACTGTTCTCTGCTTTTGTTTTACACTTCTTACAATTATTTAAAAAGATTGTTTAAATTTAAATTATACAAACATACTCCTGAAAAATAATATATAGAACAATGACAACTGCATGCAGAAAACAGATAAAGGACCTAAGAGTAGAAATCTCAAAGAAACAGAAGGGAAACTCTCTCCAATTATTTTCTGTGACAAAAGAAACTTAAAGAGAACATGAACAGAAAATGATTCTCATCAGAGAAATAATTTAAAAAACGGAATGACATAAAAAGAACACTGTACTCTGAAGGAAAATTAAGATCCAAAATAATATGAGTATGAATTAGAAACACCAAGAAATACTTTAACACTGTGTTTAAGTATAAGAAGGCTTGAGTTACTTACAGTGAATAGAGGAATAAGCAGGTAAAACTATTAAGAAAGTACACAAAGGACAAAGACAAGCTTTCACTGAGGCAGATCTAGTTTGCTATCGAATTTCAGGGTTAGAGAAAGAATTCTTTAATCACATAGAGGGGACGAAATACGACAGAAAATTTTCAAGCTACTGTCAAATTTCTCCTTAGTAACAATTAGTACTAGAATAGAATGGAGTAATTAATTTCAGCCAAATTTTAAAGAAAAGAAAATGACAACCAATTTTATACCCACCAAGTCACTAGAATATATTCAAGCATGCATGAACTCAGGAAGTAGTGTCCATAAGAACCTTTTAAAAAAAATAAAACTACTTGACAGTAAAATTTAACTGATCAAGAAATAATTTTACAAGTTTAAAACCTGTGTTCCCTTTTTCTAATATAAACTTTCACAAAGTTCTATATATATGTCTCCCTAAAAAGTTAAATCTACATTGCAAAAGTGGAAAACAGCATTTCATGATTTTTATATTCCTATGAGATTACTGTGTATACAAAAATTATACTTGTTGAACTTTTCTTTCTTTGAGGAAACGGAAAAGAAAAAAGGCAATAAAACCTTGACATTTGTATTAGTTTGCTAGGTCTGTCATAACAAAGTGCCACAGACTGGTTGGCTTACATAGAAAACCACTGTCTTCCAGTTCTGGAGCCCCGAAGTCTGAGAGCGAGGTGTCAGCAGGGGTGGTTTCCTCCAAGGCTCTTCCTTCACTTGTAAATGGCAGTCTTCTTGTGTCCAAGTTTCCTTTTATAAGAATACCAGTCACTTTAGAATAGGGCCCACTTTAATGACCTCATTTTAACTAAATTACCTCTTTAAAAACCCTATGTCTAAATACAACCACATTCTGAGGTCCTGGGAGTTAGGGCTTCAACAAATGAATGTTGGGGAGACACAATTCAGCCCAGAACATTCTCCATGCCCCAGTGTAAACAAAGCACAAGATTGGATGTCATCGAGTCCCAGGGAATGCAGTGAAGGGGTCAGAACTTCTGCCTACTGTAGGTAAGTCAACTGGTTATGACTAGGTTTGTGGCCAAACTCATGTCTGTCGGTTTTGTCTTGGGAGAGCTGCCGGACTTCTCAGAATCTCAGACATTATGGGTAGCAGAGAGTGGAGGAGACCCAACGTCTCAGGGTTGCTTTACACACAGCATAAAGAAAATGGTAGAATGACTCTTTCATTAGTTACTTTCCGTCTCCTAGACCCTTATAATTTAGTTTTTATTTTTACTATTAGACTATTTAGAGTAGTTCTAGTTTTACAGAAAAACTGAATAGAAAGTACAGAAAACTACCATACCCTTCCCCCACTCTTTCTGCACAATTTCCCCCATCATTAACATTGTGTACTAGTGTACATTTGTTATGAATAATAAGCCAATATTAATACGTTAACTAAAGTATATAACGTACATTAGGGCTCACTCTTGGTGGTGTACAGTTCAGTGTTTTAGACCAATGTATACTGTCATGTATCCACCAGCTTCTGTAGTACCATACAGATTAGTTTCACCGCACAAAAAATCCCTTGGGTTCCACCTACTCTTCTTGTCCTCTCTCTTCCCAAGCTCCTAGCAAATGACTGATCTTTTCAGCCTTTACAGTTTTGCCTTTTAGAATGTCAGACTTGGAATCATACAGTATGCAGCCTTTTCATATGGCTTCTTTCACTTAGCAATACGCATTTACGTTTCTTTGTCTTTCATGCCTTGATAGCTCATTTTTTAATTCATAAATATAATACTTTGTTGTATGTATGTATCAAGTTTATCCATTCATCCACTGAAAGATATCTTGGTTACCTCTCCATGTTGACAGTTATAAATAAAACTTCTATAAACATCTGTGGGTAGGTTTTTGTGTGGATATGTCTTCAACTTATTTGGGTAAATGTCAAGGGACATGATTGCTGGATAGTATAGTAGGATAATGTTTAGGTTTGTAATAAGCTGCCAAACTGTCTTCCAAACTGATTGTACCAGTTTGCATTCCTACTAGCAATGAATGAAAGTTCCTGTTGCCCCACATCATGTCAGGACTCGGTGGTGTCAGTGTTTTGGATTTTAGCCATTCTAATAGGTGTGTAGTGGTAATCTGCAATTCGTTGATGACGTGATCTTGAGCCCTGTTTCATGTTTATCTGCCAGCTGTACATGTTCTTTGGTGAGGCATCTGTTCAGACCTTTTGCCTATTCTTAGTTTTTTTTTTTATAGCTCAGTTTTATGAGTTCTTTGTATATTTCGGATACAAGTTTTTTTTTTGCAGATCATTTTGCAAGTATTTTCTCCCAGTTTGTGGCATGTCTTTTCATTCTTTTAACAGTGTCTTTTGTAGAGCAGTTTTTATTCTAATCAAGTCATACTTATTACCTTTCTCTTCCATGGATCATGCTTTTGGTGTTATATTTAAAAACTCATAACCATATCCAAGGTCACCCTTTTTCCTCTTATCTTCCATAAGTTTTATAGTTTTGCATTTTACATTTAGGTCTATGAACCAGTTTGAGTTAATTATTATGAAAAGTGTACAGTCTGTGTCTAGATTCATTTCTTGCATGCAGAAGTCCAGTTGTTCAGTACTGTTTGTTGAAAAGACTATCTGCACTCCACTGAATTGCCTTTGTTCCTCCATCAAAGATCAACTGACTATATTTGAGTGGGTCTACTTCTGGGTTCTCTATTATTTTCAGTTGGCCTATGTGTCTATTCTCTCACCAATACCACATTGTCCTTCAGGTTTACAGTAAGTCTTGGAGCCTAGTAGTGCCAGTTCCCAAACTTTGTTCTTCAATATTGTGTTGGCTTGTCTTTTGTCATTCCACAAATTTTGGAAAAGTTTACTGACATACAAAATCATTTGCTGGGATTTTGATAGGAATTGTGATTATTACCAAGTTGGAAAGAAGTGGCATCCTGACAGTACTTTTTCCTATCCATGAACATGGACTATCTCTCTACTTATTTAGATCTTGTTTTCTTTCATCAAATTTGTAGCTTTCGATGGACAGTGACTGTGAAGGGGTATGTGGGAGGGACTTGGTGAAGGGGGGAGCCTAGTAAACATAATGTCCTTCATGTAATTGTAGATTAATGATACCAAAAAAAATTTTTGTAGCTTTCCTAATATACACATTTGGGTACATTTATGCTAAGTCTGCCTTCTTTTCTTCTTCCCCACCTCTCTCTCTGGTGCTAATCAAAATAATGTTGCATTTTTATTTCAAATTACAATTATTCATTGCTGTTATCTAGGAAAGGAATCGACTTTTGTATATTAATTCCATATCCTCTAATCTTGCTATAACTGCTTACTAGTTCCAGGAGATATTTTTGTTCTTTTGGATTTTCTACATAGTCATTCATGTCATCAGTGAAGAAAGACAATTTTTTTTCTTTTTTTCCTCAATCCGTAAGATAACCCCCCACCCTTTTCTTATTTTATGGCATCAGCAAGGACTTCTAGTATGACAGTAAATAGGAGCATGTGAGCCTTAGAATTATTACCTTGTTGTTTTAAAAGAATTAAAGCGGATTTTACCAAGAAAGCCATCCCTCTTTTATGGAATATTGCAAAACACAGAAATTGGAGGGGATGGGAGTAAGTAGAGAAAAATTGTGTTAATTTTCTCATCATAGCAGGGCTCCGATTTTATTGTCTAAAATTAAAACATAACCTAGAATAAAATCTTATTAACTCCAACCTTAATGTTTTTCAGTTTTTCTTAACCTTAGAGTTATAACTAAGGAACAATATTACATGTGACAAAGACATTTTTATCTTGTGTTCAGAAATTTAGAAGTTCTTTGAATTTCTATTACTTAAGTAATATAAACATAATATTTTACAATTTTATTATGATGACATTTTTATTTTATATCTATTTTTCTAGGTATTTACCTAGATATGTATTTGTATATGCACAGAGAAAACTGGAGGAGGTTCACCTGTTAGTGATGCACTTTACTATCAAATCATTTTACAATCATTATCTAACTATTTTACGATGTGGGGTGGTTTACTAAAAAGCACCTCACTAGGTTGAAGAATGGGGTCACATTGTAACTTTTTTTTGATCTGCATTGTCTAAATTTGTAAAACAACTACCATGTATTATTTTTGCTGAAAATATTATTTGTAAAGTAAAATCATAAATGACAACTGCATACTGGTGGTGGGGTTTAATATGTCCTGCCCCTGTATTTCCCTTAAACTGGCCATTAGATCTAGAATTTTGATGAGGGACTACTTCAAGGCTTATCAAGGCCACTTCACAGGCACTTGGTGTACTGTTCTCACATCAGAAGAACCTAGAACCTGTTTGATCTTATCCCTTTGTGATGTTAATACAAGCACTGCCTGGATCATGAGTTGATAAAATGGGCCAAATCTGATGTGGGCCAAATCTCATCTTCTGTTATTGTAAATAAAGTTTTATTGGAATAGTCTCATCCATTTATTTACATAGTTTGTATGGCTGCTTTTGCACTACAATAGCAGAGCTACAACCGCAGAGACCTGAAGGCTCCAATCTTAAAATATTTATTATTGACTCTTTACTGGAAATATTTATTCACCTGACTTGTAGCCTAGGTCCATCAATTTGTTACAAAATGGTAATATTCTTAAGAGAAGCTGAGAGTATTGATTGAGTTCGGAGGGGTGTTAGAACTCTCAGTTCTGTGAAGTACCTAAAACGTCCTGTAAATTTTTTTTTTAAATGTGGATTTCTAATCCCTAAACCTCCAGATACTCTGATTCAGTAGACTGGAGGTCAGGAACCAACATTTTTAACATGTTTTCCAGACTGTACTGCAGACGGTCCATACATAAGGCAACATTCGTATATATACCCTGCCTTAGTTCAAAGAGCAACTTTTAATTATGGATAGACCTGGGGTGTGATTGAATACTTTCTCTGCCTAGGATTTCAGCGGATGTGTCATCTACTTTGGGTCCTATGGCGATCAATAAGGGAATCCTGTCTTTATCCCACAATCTTTGTTTTTCCTCTCTTCACAGCACTCCGTTTATTGACTATCTAGCATTTATACTGACTTATAATTACCTTGTTTACGTGTCTGTACTGCTCCCTGCACTGTTAGTTCTCTCACTAGACCATCAAACTCCAAGGTAAGAGCTATTGCCTTATTCATATCATAGCACCTAGTAAAGTGTTATACATAGCAGGCGCTGAACAACTGTCAAAAGAATAATTCATTCTAAAAAACATAAAAACGAAGATTGACAAGTTCACCGCTACCACCAAATGTCTGCATTTATAATTCAGCAAAGCACACAGACAACCCATATACATCCTAACCACCTCCCCAAACCAAATCTGGAGTACACCAAACGATGGCCTGTTTCGCAGTGTTTCCAAGCCTGACACTGCAGGAAGGCCAAGTTTTGCGGGTGGGGAGCCTATGTCCGGTTAGGTCGGTCATAATAACCTTGTATTGTTTATAAGATGCATTATGACCCCCCAATTACATAATACAAACAATATGGGCAGTCGGGAGGTGCACGAAGCAAGATGAACCGCAGGAAACAGAAACTTGTATGTAAAATCACCCCATTGCACATAATTCATTTTAGAGCTTCACCTATGCGCTCTGGCAGAGTGGCGTCGTGCACGGCCCCGGGGCTCCTGCGGCGAACGCGCCTAGGGCGACGGCGGGAGAGGGGCACTTAGCCTGGGGGCCGCACAGCGGGGCGCGTCCCGTACTAAAGGGACACCAAACCGCAGGTGCGGAGCCCACCTCTTCCCGAAGGCGGGGCCGAGACTGCACTTAGCTGCGCCTGCGCCCTGAGACCTCCGCGCCAAGGACCAATGAGCGTAGGAGAGGTCGGGCTGAAGGGCAGAGACTCGGTTTCCGGTTCCGGTAGGTGTGGTTCGTCCGCGCCTGTGCTACGTGTCTCTGTTGTCTGAGGAGGCGCTGGACAGGTGAGCGTCTGTCTCCCGAGAGAATTGGGTCGGGGGCATCCTCTGTGTGACTCGGCCAGGCGTCGGGCCCCCTGGGGCGGCCTCGCTCGGGTCCGAGAGCGCGCCAAGGCCTCTCTGGCCGCCAGCACCCGCCCGCTCTGCCCGGTGAAAGCGGACGGCGGGGCCGCGGCCTCCGATGACCCGGGACAGGTTCGACAGCCCATGGCCCTCGGGCATGGCCAGCCCCGGGGCGGGGTTCGGCTCTGCGGCCGCCCCTGTGTGCGCTCTCCCGGGGCATCCGGGCGCCTGTCGCGCTGACCGGGAGGCAGGCCTTGGGGCGGCGGTGAGAGCCCGACCCTGGCAGAGACGGAGCCCAGCCCCTCCCACCCGCCGCTCCGTGTTGTGGCACGAGAGCACGGGTCTGTGTTCCAGATCAGCAGGTCCGGAGGGTTATTGGATCCCCTCCCCCGACACTGAAGAGTTTTGTGTATTTTGTGCGTGTGTGTGGCTTTGTTTTTGTTTTGGATATAAATCTTACATTACCACTTATTATAAAGCTTAAGCCCATTGGATTTGACGATTAAGGGTTACGTGAACTACTGAGAAAACAGACATTGCTATGTTTGGAGGGACTCAACATACCTGGCCCAGAATGTTTATATAATTCTTAGTGCACTTTAAGTGTTTAATATACATTATTCTGACTGCCCACCCTGGGTGTGGAAACGGGGGCTTAGAGAGGTTACATTTCTTAGGAATTTGAACCACTACGTGCTCTTAACAATGGTATTCATTCATTGATTCAGCAAATTTTTTAAAGTGTTTATGTGCCTGACCACTGTTTAAGGAACTATAGATGTAGTAAAATACAAGTAATAAACAGGCCTCAGTCGCCCTCAGACCAGTGGGTCTCAAAGCTAAGTTTGGATGACTTTTCTGTTAGGTAATAACTTGTACGATAAAAGATGTATGTTTCCTTAGAAGATGTGTCCAAACCTTGGAATTGAGCTGATAACTTCTCAGAATCTGGGTCTTGGTTTTGTCAGTCTCTGCAGTTTTGAAAATTTGATCTGTCCTGTGTAAGTATGCTCCTTTCTAAAACTTTTGTGGTCAGTGGTATAGAACAGTCAGATTGAAATCCACAGTTGCTTCAGTCTCTAGTCTCTTGCAGCACCATAGTTCACTGCACTAGACCCTGTTTTCTGGGGGTTTAAAATAAAAGAGAAAATGTTGGATTCTAGCATCACTGGCTTCTTAGGAATAGTAATGAGAGTTACTGAGGAGTGGATAATGAATAGGTATGTTGTCAGTCGCTTTACCTTTTACACTGAAAGCATGCATCCTTTGTCAGGGCTAACAACATGGGTAAGACCTGTGCTTTTCTTACTGTGTTTGCTCCAATGCTTGAATGGAGTTTAAAAAGTAACGTAACTTTAGGCTCAGAGTCTGAATTTTTTTTGTGTGTGTGTGAGATGGAACTGACCCACATCAGCTATTAATTCATGGCTGGTTTAATTTACATTTTGCTAGAACTGAGCAAGCTCTTACTGTCTGTTTGGTAATACCAGCAAATGTCTTTTTCTTGTTTTTTTAAATAGGCATCATGGATCAGGTAATGCAGTTTGTTGAGCCAAGTCGGCAGTTTGTGAAGGACTCAATTCGTCTGGTTAAAAGATGTACCAAACCTGATAGAAAAGGTAAATTAAAAGAGAAAACAGATGAAATTTTTACATTTTCTAAGCCTTTTATTTAATCAATACCTTCCTGTTTAATAACTTCCTGTTCAACAATAAAAATAATTTCGTTTTATTGATTTTTAAATGTCACTTTGTCCTAAATTTTGTACACTTTCTGTACACTTCATAAATTTTTGTTTTATTTATTTTCAGAGTGTAAGATTCTTTATTACAGCCTTATTCTCCATGTTATGTTTGCCCTGGTCATATCTCATCGCTCTATAGAGTTTTTGCTATCTTCCATAATTCTACTCTGGAAAATCTTTTGTTTGGAATCCCCCATGCTCTGGCAGTGTGTCCCTTCTTCTCCCCTTCTGCCAAAACCTTAAGATGAAATTAACAACAAATTTGTTGCTAACCTAAAAAATTTAATTTCTTATTTATCGTGATTCATGTGATAAAAGGTGCACCAAAATTTGCATGCTTTTGTTCATTTATTGACTCTTGCCTGAGTTAGCAGCTGGGAATATAGCACAGAATATAATATATTGTGTATACAGTAAATATCTAAAAGTATATAATATGATAGAGTATGGTATATAGGGATTAGAGGATGACATATGTATAGTGTAACATATAAAAATATATAACATACCTGTTTTTGATCCGATTTTTGCTCTTACGGAAGACAGTCATAAATAATGGGAATTATAATTTGTAATTAAGGCTGTGGTAAGTACTAAAGAAATAGATGAAGGTTTGATAGCACATTTGGAGGACTAACCCTGTTGAGAGAACAGGGAGAGCTTCTTTGATGAAGTAACTTTAAATGGAAACATTACCAGTTCTGAAACCTTTATGTAAAATTGTGCTTAATCCAATTTGATTTTTCAAGCCTTATTTTTGGCTTCATTATAATACCAGGGACAATGGACCTTATAGTTTATAAAAAGTTTTGTTCTGTGCTGTTACAGTTAATATTTTTAGCAGTGTTAGAAAATTTTAAAATACTGTATTTTTTCTATCCTTGTTTTATTTCTTTTTGGTATTCGGGTTCGCTAAGAAGATAAACTATTTTGTTGCTTGATGGATTCACTGGAATGGTTATGCACTTGATTTCTGTGTTTCTCTACATTTCAATAAAATATGAAAATTAAAAAATCTGTTAACTTATATTAATAGTGTTATGTTTTATTTGAAATGATATATTTACTGTCAGGAGAAGTGAATGCCAGTAAGTTTATTTTTGTTGCTCCAGTGTTTTCTTTTACGTTTGCAATGACAGTGAAAAATTAATATAAATTTTGTATTTTTAAATCTAGAATTCCAGAAGATTGCCATGGCAACAGCAATAGGATTTGCTATAATGGGATTCATTGGCTTTTTTGTGAAACTGATCCATATCCCTATTAATAACATCATTGTGTAAGTAAACTTTCTGAACAAGTATTGGGGATGGGCTGACAACTGAGACCATTTGAGTTGGCAGCCTGCTGTTGTGTTAATACACAATTGTCTCTTGACTTTTCAGTGCTGCCAATCTACTGATATTTGAGTACCTGGTAATTAAGATGATATTTTATCTATACAAACTTTTTAGCAACTCTGTGAGAAATAGGCACTCTTTTCTCTAATAAAAAATTTTAAAGGTGAAGAAGAGAGTAAAAACACTGACTGTATGACAAAGTACTGCGACCCGTGATGGAACAAATGTTCAAATTCAAATCCCCTTTATGCAGTTTATTACTGATTTTTAAGGTACAGAGCAAATGGTCCCCATCTGAAAATTGCTGCAGTGATAAAAGTTCAAACTCTGGACCAGATCCCTTAGATTCAGATCCTCTTTGTTGTTACTTAAATGCTGTCAGAGCCTTGGGCAGCTTACTTACCTTCTCTGTGCCCAGGTTATTCAATAAGGATAATTGTTACTGATTGGGTTATAGTAAAGATTAATGACTTAAATCATGTAAACCCTAAAAACCAACTTGGATGAGAACTACATGGGAGGTGGTACTCCTGTAATTCTTATTCATGGAAAGGTAGTAACTTTTCAGGTATATTAGAAGAGAAGTAAAGATTGAGACACATTGGCATTACTTTATTCTTTTACAAATGCTTTTTTTTTTTTTTTGATTCACTATAAGATACTGAGACACCTTATGACAGTGAGCAATTAGAGTAGTCAAGTTTAGGCAGTTAAATTTGGTGCAAAGACTGGGCACGATGTGTGGTACTTAACTTGCTCTGTGATGTTTGAATTTACACTCTGAGCCTTCTCTGCCATTTGGAAGTATTGACACTAGGCTTATTTTTTGGGCTGGGAAGGTGAAGCAGTTACTTAGGAACATTTTGCAAACTATCTCCCTTAAATATGAGGTATTTTCTTATGGGTGCTCGTGGAGATTGTCTTTTAAACAAGTGACTTGAGCATTTTCAGGTAGTGTCCATACTTACTAAACAAAAGTGCCACAGGGGGATATTTTAGGATCATAGACATTTTAGGAAAGGACCAAGTCTCCCTAATGTCCATCAGTTCAGAAGTCTTTGTTATAATACTACTGAGAAATACCAGTTCTGGAATCATGGAATCATGGACAGAAACCTGTGTAGAATTAGGGAACCTGACACTTGTTGTCTCTGGGTTACAGACAGAAGAGGTGGGATAATCTCTGTGAAGTCTCTTCAATGTAAACCTGTGCTTCTCTTGTTTCTTATAAACACCCCTCATTGTTCCTTTACCTTTGGAACAACATACAAGGTTCTGTTGTTACTTTGGTATGTAAGTGCTTTTCACATATTCCCCCCAGTCTTCACTTGGCACTATGTTTTTACTCTCTCCTTTGCCAGACATTACTATCTGCCTTGGGTTATTAATATGGCCTGTCTTTCACAATAGATTATGAGTTCTGAGACCAACCTGTTTATATATATTTAAAAAAAAACTGAAGAAATGTTTGTTGAACAAAGTAAATAGCTTCAGATTCTTTATCTGTTTCTAATGGTCATGATCGTAATAGTAATTGCCAGCATTTATTGAGCACTTGCTGTGTGCCAGGGACTGTTCCTGCTTGTGTGAGGCAGCTGATTTAATCCTAACGGCAGTTCTGTGATGTTGGTCCTGTTGTTGTTTCCATTTTATACATGAAGAAACTGAGGCATGGAGAGTTGGTACTCAAGTTGCATTACTTACTAAGCTAGGAAGTGATTAATAATGGGCTAGAAAACAGAGCAGCTTATAAAACGCAGGCCAACTGGCTTGGGAGCCTATATTTCTGTCTTTTGCATATGCCTTCTATCTTGTTCTGGCTCATTTTGAGAACACTCACATTCCTTACTTTACACACCAGTTTGTATTTCATTAGCCCCTTTCAAACCCAGTATTTATCATTGAAAGCCTGCTGCAGGTGTGTTCTTGCTTATGGCTGAAGTGCTCAGTTTCTCACAAGTACCTGCCTCAGTCTCCCTTAGCCTGGGTTTGCACAGTTGAGGTGGTTTGGGTTTAGTCCAAGAGTGGAACATTATCCTTGTTAAATTTTTTTTGCTAGATTCCCTTATGGAAGACTTCAGCATTTCTAATTTGTCCAACATAGGTACTTATCCAAGCTTTGTGTTAGAATATCCCTTACTTTGTTACCAAAGTTGTGCCCTGAAGTGCTGTTCGGGACAAGGTGGTCTCAGCACATACTTTTTTGGATTGAGATCCATTAGTCCAGTTGTTTATAACAGGGTTTTGAAATAATTTGTTTTCTTCTAACTGCTTTCCACAGCAATCACAAAATATCTTTTGCCATTACCAGTCAGAGGTTATTCAGCTGTGACCTTATAAAACTTTGCTTCTAGCAACCTGTCTTCATGTAGTTTTTACATTAAAATGAAGACCAAAGAAAGCATTTTGAGAAAATGCTTTGAGAGAAAAGCTATCAGAAAATGTAATCTTTTCATGATATGCTGTGACAGCTGAAACTGAAAGAATTCTTTTTTTATTGCTTGAAAGAGAATGAAGCACTGTTTAAATAGTTTTGAGATGATAGCAAGTAAAATATAACCACAAGCTTCTCTTTCAGTGGCTGAATTACTCTATTTTTACCTTATGATGAAATTTTTTCTTCTTGTATGCTTAATAGCTGTCAAAATTAATATCCACAGTTTTACAATTTAAAGGAGTTATATAGTTGTGGGTATTTAAGTTATAGCAGTAAAATTTAATAACGTGAGCTCTTAAAATACTTAGCATTAAAGTATATAGTCAAGAGTATTTGAGGACTATTTTCATCTAGTAATAGAACTGTTTTTTGTTCTTTAACACCACTAAACAGTACTAAAATGTAGTCAGGGTACAGTCTTAATGTTGATGCTTTTGCAACACAGGAGTTCTTTAGAAAAGATGGTTTTTGTTTTCATTGTGATTAAAACCGCTTTTTGAGTGAAGATGGTGAGACACAGTGGCGGAGAGCCACTGTGCTCATCTGCATGCTTTATTTTCAACTGGCTGATTGTACATCAAATTGAAAACTTTACCAACTAACCATCCTGATAGGTAATTTCATATTTTTCATCTTGTTCAGAAAGATATGCTAGACTGTTAAAAATACTTCCCAAAGGAGAATTCTGAGTTTTTGAGCTGTTCCAGAAGCCACATCATCTCTAAGGACCTTCTCAGTTCTAAGATTTTAAAGTTCAGTTTCTTTTTTTTATGCTGTCTTGGGATAATACAGGTGTGGTTCTCAAGTAACTGGTTTTGGTTCCATAATATTACCATATAATGTATTTCAAATAATAATTATTATTAAAATCTTATAAATACTGAAAATTGAACATTTTTCTTTCTTTTACAGTGGTGGCTGAGTATCTTTTAAGAAGAGTATTTTTCATCTTGGGGATTGGTGAACAAGTGAGGATTTGAGAAGCTCATGAGTAAAAATTTGCCTATATATTTTGTGTTTTGCTTTCATTTTTTTTCTTCCAAGACATTTTCTATTTCTATATTAAAAGAATTTGAAAATAAACTTCTCTTTTTTCTATGACATATAATTATCACATTTTAATGATAGGAATAATGGGTTATTTTCCCTCCTTTCCTCCCTTCCTTCCATCCCTCATAGTTTGGTTTATAGGAGAAATTAAAGAGCATGTGAAATATTGCACTTACTGAGCATTCCTCTATTAGATAAACCTGTCATGAAGGAAGAAACTGAGAAAATAAGGATGGTAAAGATACAGTTGAGGATGGGGAAGGAATTTTGTGCTTAGTACTCAAATGCAAACAGGTAGTTGTCACAGCTGCTATGGAAGTTCAGGTGCTACTTGAAATAGCTTCCTGAGAATCATGGTTAAAACATAAGCTAATTAGTAATAACATTGGGGTTCTGAATTTTGTAAAGAATTCATTGATAATTGAACGTGAGATGAAAAGGGGCCTTATCTTCTTTCCCCTTTAAGAAAATAGTAATGTCATAGTGACAGTTTATTCTCCTTAAAATTATTTATTAATCTGTTCATTTAGTGCTTAGTTATTGAGCTTTGCCAATGTCTAATATTTTTTAAAAAATTGGGTAGCAGCACATGCTTGGAAGGTATCCTGATTCTTAGTGAAGGTAGGCAGGTGTCTCACTGATGTAGTTGGGCAGTATTCCTCAGTTTGGGGATCTCCAGAAAGCAAAGTCTTTTCAGTGATTGTAACACATTTTCTGCTTATTTTTGATATGCTGATAGTCTTGAATGAAATTGGAGACTTCAAAGAAAATATAACCGTGGCCATCTCTGATCTTAAGGGGTATGTTTTATGGATAATTTAGCTCTTTATAAAGGTCATAGTGTGTGTATACATGCATATGAATAAATAATATATATATATATACACGTACACATGCAATATGTTCATACTAAGTACAGTAGAAATTTTAAAATGTAGACTAGCTTCTGGCAAATATATAGTAGGATAAAATGGTTCTGAATATTAATATTTTCTCAATGTAAGAATTATGAATCCCATTTATAGCATACATTTGGGCAGCTCATTTTTTATTTTTCAGTTTCAGTAACTGGTTCTTAGAAACATGGGTAGGTAAGTTGTTACATAAATACTTTGTGTATAAACATGTAAAATGATGGCTGAAGAACTGGTGAGAGGGCAGAATAACTTCACACTCCACAGCTGATTTCTTAAATAGGAAAAAATGATTTTTCTAATTAACCATACTCCTGGATATCTAAGATCTAGTATATTTGTATTGTCCAACAGGACTTAAGCTTCACTAAGTATAAGTATATGATATACATCAAGTATATCTGAGGGAGTTTGTTTAAAACATGGATCCTCGTGTCCTACCCTCAGAGATTCTGATTCAGGTGTGGGTGGGCCTGAGAATTTGCATTTCTATCTGTTTGCTGATGGCTGCTATGTGGACCACACTTTCAGGGGCAAGATTTTAAAGTTCTTAGTTTTATCTTGCTTAACAAAGCATGTTAATGTCTTTTGTGGCAGTTTTACTATCTTCATGAACCCCTAGACTGTATGAGCAAGGACTCGGCCACCAGTTCCACTAAACTAAAATTGACTTCCACCACAAAAAAAATCAACAGACAGGTCCAAGGAGGGAGACACTGACAGTTTCCACAGAATGGCAGAGCCTTGATGGGACAGGATAGTGAATAAGGCCTGGTTCCTATCGAGTTGCTCTTACTGCTGGAAACCAGTGCTTTACTCCCAAAGCTGTGCCACTGGGGGTGTTCATTGCTCTCATTTGTTAGAAAGGTTCTGCTTGGAAGGAAGGGTATTTAATTTAACCTGAGGGCGAGAGGCCTCATGTAAGGCACATCAGAAAACTGATTAAAAGTCAAAGTTGCACGCTGGTTAGGACTTTATGTGCTACAAAAAGTCTAGATACATTTATTTGGACACAATTGTATAATTTTCCTAGTCTTACTCTACTGTAACCTCTTACTCCAAAACTACTCAGGTGTGTGTGCATCTCTCACTCCTGATTTTTGAAGTCCTCATAAGCCTTGCCTTTTTTGGTCAACCTGGCTTATGGCCCTGTTTTCATAAGCTTTTAAGACACCTAGGTGTCTGTCCGATTCACTGCTAAATCCCAAGTTGCCTGGGGCAGTGTCTGCATGTAGTAGCTGCTCTGTTAATGAAACAAACTATTGTGTTCGTGCTGGTTTAGTAATTTCTCATTTTTGTAACGTGGAATGTGGTAATTTCAACCACTTATCTAGTAGAGTGCACAGAGCAAATCCTCAACTTCTCCAGTCGCAGGACTCTACTATCGGAAAACAGCGTATGTGTGTGTGGGCATTCTCTCATACCAGAATACACATACGTGTGTGTGTGTGTGTGTGTGTGTGTGTGTATGCTTTACATGCCTGCATCACAGTCTTGATCTGCACCGTTGAAGTTCCCTCAGCACTTCAACTTGGGACAGTGGCAGTTCTGGGCTTTTAACTTGGCTGTGCTTCCCTCTCCCTTACATTGGCCTGTAGAGAAAATTCCCTTCTCCTTCCTGCAATTTAGGTTTCCCCCTTGTGTCTCCGTTTGGGAACGTAATTTCGGTTTTTTTGAGTTACTACTTTTAGTCATAGCATCAGTACAATTTATAAGGCTCTCTGCCCTGCTTGAAGGCCACATGAGTCTGGGGCCACCGCAGTTCCTGGCTCGGGACTGGCTGGCTTTGGGAGAAAGCATTCGCACTTGGAGAAGACATTTCTGAAACTGGCCAGGGTAGCATTCCCTTTCCTAGAATGTTTTTGAGGCCTTTAAAAAAACAACAACCTAGGCTGGAGGACCAGAAAAGCTGCCAGTTCCTTCAACTTCAGGCATTATTCTCTCTGAAGTGCAATTGGGAATAAAAGGCCTGGCCCCCGTATAGTAAGAAGAATGTTACTTTCATAGGTACAAAAGGGCTTTGAGAGCTGAAGCTGTTTAGAAATGAAAGAAATTGTGTTATTTCTATGTATTTTGGGGAAGGTAACGACAGAACCAAGTGAAAATGTCAGACTACTTGTCGCAATAAACAGCCAGGTGAACCTTATTTTCAAAAGAGAGATACTAAAACGCCCAGCTTTCCAGTGCTGAATTGCCTAAGGTCAAAAAGTGTGTGTGGTGAAGCAGGCACAATGCCCAGAACACAGACAGGTATTTTAATGCTACGTCATTTTTTCCCTCATCTTTCCTCTCACTGAGGCTATATGCAGCTGGCCTTCCTCCAGTTGGTACAGGCTGGATTCTTAACTGTCTGCATATGGCACTCTCTCGTCCCTATAGCTTGCCTCCAGTTGTGTTAAAAGAATTTCTCATCTGTACCAAAGTTCTGGGGGAAATTGTAGTTTACTTCAATGAACTGATTCCCTTGCATGTGCTAAGAACTTGGCAGGTGCTGGCGATAGGAAGGTGACTAAGATGCTTTTTTCAGGAGAAGAAAGTATGTAACCTCGTAATGCTGTACAAAGAGGGTGTGAAGTCCTATTGGTGATGACTCTGGCCACTTCCCTATTCGTCCTGGGGAGGAAAGAATCATGACCACTGTAGGTCATAGAAAATGCAGTAGTCATTGTCGCAGCTCTTTCAAGACATTTAAAATTGCACTTCACCCATTTAGTCTGAAGAAATTGGAGGTGATGTCTAAGGTGTCTTTTAGCATTGCTTTTCCGTGATCTGGCTCATCAGCCAGGACTCTGGGTTATCTGAAAATGTCCTCACCCCAGCCAAGCTGGCCTTCAGTTGAAGAGCACTCACTTGAGTCTGCATTGTTTTCCTTCTGACAAAAATAGGTGTCGTTTTTCCACGCCAAGTTTCTGACTCCTATTTAATTCAGTTCAGACATTGCCTGAAGTTAGCATCAGACCCCACAGGTTGAAGCCCTCTCACTTTGGGTGCCAGCTACAAGTGGGGTCCCAGCAACCCGGCTTCTGCCCAGCTGCCCACGAATGCAGGGGTTCCCTTGAAACCCCCGCCATGATATGGTAACTCACCAGAATGACTCAAGAATGTGCTGTACTTACAATCACAGCTTTATTAGGAAACCTACAACTGAGAAACAGCCAAATGGAAGGGATGTGTGAAGCACGGTAGAGGTCGGGGGAAGGTGAAGAGCTTCCATGCCCTCTGCGTGTGCCCCCTCTCTACCACACTGATGTGCTCATCGTGCTCATCAACGTGGAAGGCCCTGAGCCCCACCCTGTTCTTGTATTATCTTTCCTTCTGGGTTGTTTTTATTCCTATTTAAGAATAAAATATAAAAATATGATTGAGAGTTCATTGGGTGAGTCATCTACCTGTTTGGTCTTAGGCTCATTCTTTCTCCTGCCGCTCTGTACTAAAGGCTGAGCCCTGTGAACTAGATCTCCCAACTCAGAAATTGCCTTCAGCTCTTGGGAGGCCCTGGAAGGAGGAGGGAAGAACCTTGAGTAGTTCTCTTCTCTCAGCCCCAGGTAGCGCTGTGTACTCTGGCTGCACACCCCTTCTGGTCTGGGCCCCTGGCCTGGTCCAAGCTCATGCCCCACCTCAGGGGAACACCTCCTGTCATTCCTCTCAACCTAGGGATGGTAGTGGTTTCCTGATTGGTAAGTCAGGGATTTTCTCACCAGTCCTTTGCTTTTTTAACTTGTTCAGTGCATTTGAGGTTAACTCCTGGGATTAAATTTTCTCTGGGCTACTTGGAGTGTATTCTCTTATCTTGAATGGGCCCTCACTGACATATCTTTGGAGCTTGTAAACTAACAAAGTTTAGGAGGATTGGCAAAGGCTGACCATTATACGTGGGCACTCCTAAGCACCAGGATGGGAAATATTTTTCTAGGACCAGTCTTTTTATTATTTTGCCTGGATAATAGACAGTAGTCTGTGTGGTGTTCTCTGCCTACAGTGAGGAAGGAGAATAGGATCTTGTTTATTTCCAGCACCATTCTTTAATCCAGGGTGCACATTAAATGTTTTCCTATGTTATCCAGTATTTCTCTGTAGTATGAGGTGTCTGCATGAGGTCAGTACACCCTGTTTTGGGGA